TAATTTTTCATCAAGATATGAACATAACTAAAAAAGCGTACATGTAGGTTTATGTCAGATTTTTTTAGGCTATCACCATCAAGAATGCTGCTCATCTGATCAAAAGAGGACAATTTAAATCCTTTACGTAATCAACTACCTAAAGAACTTCAAATTAGTAATAACATAAACATTTTTACAACCATCCTTTTATGTATGTAAATTTTATTAGCAGGGATACGCTATACACCTAATTTGTTAACTATTATTTCATCATCTTTGGAGTCAATTTGGGATGATCAACATTGAAAAATCATTAAATAAAAGAATAACGTATTTAATGACTTTAATATCCATAAAGATCGGTTTCAAAATACAACAAAATGGGCTCTATAGTTGAACTGATAAAGGTTAATAAATTTTTAACGATAATGTGCAAGAAAGTGATCAGACGACTCAAAATATTCAGGCATAGACAGAGTTGAGCATGCCCTTTTGATAGATTTAAGAGATGTCAAAGAATATTTAAGCCTACTCATTAATATTATCCCTTCTTAGATTATTTGTTACTTATTGATGTCGGTGAATCCGAATGTTTTAAGGAAACAATGCATGTTAAAAACTTTTTTTTTAATTAATTTTTTTAAATGCAATCTTATACAAAAATGAAACTGATGTGATACCAGGAATTGAAGCTCATAAAATTTAATAAAAGTTGTTAAAATAATGAAAATTCAATCTTGATGCTTTTCTTAAGTGATGTTTCAAAAAGATCTTAAAATTTTAATCAAGTCTAGGCAAGTTATTACCACTAAATTAACAAGATCTATAAAATAACGACGGCAATAAGTAGTAAAGCCAATGAAAAACCAACTAGAATCCGGCGGTTAACAAAACGATTGTCTCACCTAGAGGCTACACTCATTTGTCTACTTCTAGGGTTGTCGGAAGAAGAAGAACCACACAAGAGATGAAACCACTCCGAGGGAGATGGAGCCAGCGATCCGTAGTGATGGAGAGGACGGCGTAGGATGTGGAGGTGGCGTGGAGTTCCGACCGTCAATGGTCCACTCGTAGTCCGGTCGTTGTTTATCGATGACTTGGATGAGGGTCGGTAGGATCCGATCCAAGTAAGCTCCAACAGTGTCGTCGTCGGAGTCAAATCTCGCGTCGAAGAAGGGCGATTGTAGAACGTTGAGATTACCGTGGGCATCGAACACAAGCCCCCATTCTAGCTCGGGATCTGCCATGCGACATGGAGGTGAAGATGGGTGGTCGCCACAAAAAGCTCTCCAATGGGGAAGATGAGGAGGTCGGCGTGTTGTAGAGAGGAGGGGGAGGCCGGTAGTAGAGCAAGGGTGAGAGGAGGGATTAGTTTTAGAGAACTGAAATTAATTTCAGTTTAAGGGAATTGGGAGAGAAAATTTGAGATTTGATTTTCCAATTAAGAGGCAATTAAGGCATTAAAGAAATTTTAATTGAATGGAGCCATAAGGGGAGCCGACGGTAGAGAGAGAGGGGAAGGAGGATTTGAAAACTGAAATTAGTTTCAGTTTTTGATGTAATTGGAGGGAAAGGATATTTCGGCTTAATTAGGATTTCAAATAAGGGGGAAGTTAATTACCTAATTAATGGGAATTCCACCTAGAGGGGGGGGGCGGATCCCCCGGGGGGGGGGGGGGGGGGGGTGCGGCGGCATTACTAGAGAGAGAGGGAGTTAGGGAGAGAGGGAGAAAGGTTTCCAAAAATAAAAGATGACTAGGAAAATCTTTTCTGATGAATCCAATTTCATTTGATGTGAAATTGAATTCAAAATTCTAAAACTTTCCTAAAATGGAACTTCTTAATTTGGAAAGAATTTGAACTTGGAGCTCAAATTTCAAAAGAGGTTACGAGAGAGAGTGGTGGTGGGAGGAGGGGAGGAGCTGGCGGCAAGGTGGCCGGTCGGTGGGACTAGGGTGGCCGACGGGTGGGGATCCCAAGGAGATGACAAACGTGGAGGGGGCCGACTTCTTCCAACTCTTTGGTATGGATTGTGGTATTTTGTGGATGAGGAGAAGAGCTATGGATGTAAATACTAAGAGAACTCACAAAGAGATCTCATGCAAAGAACTCACCAAGAGATCTTCTTGAACTCACAAAGAGAACATAATAGTAGAAAATTTTCATTCATCAATCATCCCTAAAATACAATGACCAAGCCTTTATATAGGCTTTCCAAAAATAAAGAAAACATAAAGACGACATTGCCCTTGGGCTACAACAAGCACTAATTCCCTCATAGGGGTACAAATGGAAAAACATGAAATATAAATGACATGAATAAAATAAAGCATCAATAATAAAGCTGCTGAATCATGGCCGTCGCTCGACGACCCCTCCGAAGGTAAGTATGTCGAAATCTCCTATGGATGTCCTCATCAGAAACTTTGATAATAATTAAGCTAATGAATAATAAATGGGCATTGTAGAATAAGTAGATGTTTAAGATCAAAGAGGTCACGTTGACAATAAAATGTACAATTGGGATGCTTGATTGGACGTTTTCAATATAAATATATTTGGAAAATACGGGATAACCAAAATGCCTATTTTGAGAAATACACGAGTTATTTTGTAAGGTAAAAATCAAATGCATTGATTTTTTTTTAATATAATTGCTATGATAATGCCAAATACATTGAAATGCAGATGGAAAGGATTAGGGTGAAGCGAGCAAAAGAGGGTGGGAGACATGCAATGGTGGCTAGCAGAAATGGGTAATTGGGGAATAACTGGAGGTGAGCGGTAGTGAGTAGCAGTGGATTGCAGCAAATAATAATAGTTGGTGGCGAGCAACAACATGGAATGGGATGTGAAAGGGCATGTCAGTGCAAAATATTAAAAAAAAATCTAATTTGGGTGATTACCAAATGCAGGAAAAATAGAGGTTTCATGTTACTTCAAATCCCATAAATTTTACGATGTAATTATTTTGCTTTAATTTAAACACTAAAAAAATTAAAATATAAAAAAATAGAATGCAATACACACAAATGTTGCCAACCCAAAATTTAGTTTAAATACAAATGGATAATTCAAAGTATACCCCACCGATAATATTAATACACTTAATGCATTGGAGCCTAAAGAAGAGTTTGAGCTGTTTCTTAATTGCTCACACTTAAAAATCTTGATTGAAAGTTGAGGGAAATATGGAATATATTTTAATAAAGTCGGGACCGATAGGTGGACAAACGTATGGGAGCTCGCGTGCCTGTGTTCGTTAGTGAAGGCGTGGGGTCGGAGTTCATGGGGTGGTCGCATGATTCGTCAAGGCGAAGATCACGGTTGTGGCTCAAGGCTTAGAAGCCTCGCATATTTGTAGGTATGAGGGCCAAGGCCGCAAGTAAGAACTTCGCATACGGATGTGGGAGACGCCCGTTCTTTGCGCAAGGCACAGACTGCACATGATTTGGTCAGAAGGAAGCGATGGGCCGAGGGGAACAAAGCCCGCAGATGGAAGGCGGGATGGAGTACGACGTTCGAGAAAATCGCAAGCTGGAGCACGACAGTCATGTTGGCTCATGCTATGTGAAATTAAGCCACGTAGGTGAAATCGCGGATCTTGTGGGATGGTGTTGTTGGGGTGCAAATCAAGTTATATTTTCTAAATCATGTTAGCAAAAAGATTTGAGATCGACAAATTCACTTGAGAAAATGATTTCAGCATGTGGCAGATTAAAATAAAGGCAATGTTAGTCCATCAGGGGATGTTAGAGGCGATACCCACATATGGATTTGCGGCATTGATGGATCGGGTGAAGGCAAGGGAAATGCAATTGAAGGTTCACAGCACAATCTTACTTTCTCTTGGTGACGAGGTGTTGTGAGAGGTTGCCGAGGAAGAAACAACCATCGAAGGATGGGAGAAACTAGAATCAATGTTCTTGAAAAGATCACTTGCAAATCGCCTGATCTTGAAGAAGCAACTTTATACCCTTCAAATAGAATAATGAAAGAATCTTTGAAAGCACATGGATGACTTCAAGAAGATAATTCTTGATCTCAAGAATATTGACGAGCAGATCGATGAGCTTCCAAAAGCTTTTGAACACATCGTTGATACAATGTTGTATGGGAAGCAAATTTTCACGATGATTGAGGTAAAGTCAATATTGATGTCAAAGGAGATTTAGAGGAATTTGGAGATTGAGGAGAAGAATGGTGACATGTTGCTGGTTAGGGGAAAATCTGAAGTTAGAAAAGAGAAAATTAGCAAGAAGTGCTATTTTTGCCACAAAGAGGGACATTTCAAGAGAAACTGTTCGAATAGAGATAAATGACAAAGAGTTGAACTCAAAGAAGACACTAACTTGGCAGTAGCAACATATTCAAGTGATGAATGGATTGATTCAGAGGTTTTGTAAGGGTCAATTGGAAGAAAGCTGAATCAAGGTGGAGATTGTTAGAGTTTTTGGTGATCCAACTTAATTATGCTTATTTATTTTCTATTAGCTTTATATAGTTGTGCTTTCTTTAATTTTTTTTGTAGCTTTGGTGTTGCCATTTGTGTCTTTATATAGACATAAAGGATATAATAACAAATCACCCTCACTCTTCAATCATTAAGCAATAAGCAATAGACATAAAGGATATAATAACAAATCACCCTCTCTCTCTCTCTCTCTCTCTCTCTCTCTCTCTCTCTCTCTCAAGGACATTACTTCCTCAAGATCCTAATTAACTCGTTTTACATTATGTTTCTAGTCCATTTCGAAGGGCAACAACAATGCTACCCATGTTGAAGGTTTGCATTTGAACTATTTAAATCACATCACAACAATTGAGCCCGTCAAATTCATCAAATCATAAAACTTTAAGCAAAATAATGCTTCTTTACAAAAAAAAAATGTTCTAATGCCTTCAAATTTTAAAAATAGAAACTCATTGAAACTGCCGAGTAAGCATCAATCCAAATGAGCAAGTGAGGACACGCAGAAGAAAAGAAGACTATGAATAGAAAGAGAAATGTTACTCACCCTGGGCATATTGAGCAAACTCAACCCTTCATCTTTTCAGCTTGCAGATACTTGTAAACACCATAAACAACTGTGCCACCCACAAAGACAGCAACCGTTGGAGTAAATGAAGGATACAGATACTTAGTAAAAAATTTATCCCATTGCTCCGGTAAGAAGCCTGCATTAGCCAAAAGAATTAGAGTATCCAGAAATTTCAAAATAACTAAAGGGGGAAAATCACAGAATCCATGAGCTTGGTGTTACAGTTAAAGGAACTTTTGGTTCACATCTCTTGTTAGCAATTTTTTAATTCATTAACATTTTTTAATAATAACTTTTTTGAATTATGCATAAGTTTTAGTTTTATAATACTTACATATCGGATAATTATACGGAATATGTTATGATAAAATTAGAACATTGATTAGCATATTGAAATTTTTTTGCTGAAAAGAAGACCGAAAACTTTGAGCCAATGGATGTAGAATAGATCAGTAATTACATGGATACCAACTCATTCGATTTGCTAAGCATGATATCAAGTCAAATTTCCATGAGCTGACCTAAATTCGAAACCAAAGATTTAGATTCCACCTTAAACAAATTTGATTCTGGCCAACAATGTTCATTATCGAATCAACTTTTGAATTTATTCAAGTAAAATTTACAACAACATTTCTTAGAAGGAGCGCCTCATACCATCCTTTATTAATGGGAGCTCCAATTTCAACAAAATTATAAAAAAAAAAAAAAAAGATAATAGTCTCCTTAATGTGACTTGTTTTATTAGATTAAAATAAAAATTTGACTCTTAATTGGGCACAATGAAAAAAAAGAATTCATGTAGCCATTCCCACCGAGTGGCATAAAAGTTTTTTTTTTTTTTTTTTTTTTTCTCTCCTTAGCGTCGTCTCCTTAGTGGGCAAAATTAAAAAAAAAATTATTTTTTTTTTAATTTGGATAACTCACTAGGAGTCTAGGACAGCTGCTCAATTCATGTATATAGCTATTGCCTATTGGGATGAAATTTTTTATATTAAATTATGGGCAACTGTCCCAAAACCTGGGTGAGTTGCTCCTTTTTAAAATCAAGTAATTGTTAGCTACGCCGCTACCCTCCTTCCTTGTGTTGTGCCCTCCATTCCTATTTGTTTTTTTTTTCCCCTTAATTTTCTGTATTTTTTATGTTTAGAATATTTTTTATTTTATTTTTCTAAGTGAAATTAAGGTAATCTAATGTCACCATTGCCCATTCTGACCAATTTGTCATTTTCACAAAAATACTTTTAAATTGATTTTGATGATGAGCATCAAACTAAATGGCCTGTCATATTGATCGTATCAAATACTGTTAAAGCCTTAAAGGTATCCAATGTAGTCATTCCAAATTTCTTTCACCACTTCAAAAGGTTTCAATGTTATTGATATATCATTAAAAATTTATCTTGATCAGACACGAATCTCGAGGCAAAAATCAAGTTGGAAGCTTCAAAAATTAAATCCGGGACCATCTGAACTCTGATTTCAGCAAACTTATAGTCGAATTGAACGTCTCGAAAACATGAACCCAACGACACCAAATTCAACTCAATCCGAGCCCAAATGAGTCCAAATCAAAAACCCGAAGCACATTTGGAATGTTCAATCCATAATTTGGATTACCAAGCTGTTTACAAATGTAGCGTGCTTATAGTCGAATCGAGCAGATCGACGAGACAAATCCAACGAGCCCAAGATCGTCGAATTCTGATATCATTAGAGCCTTTAAATGTCTAATAAACAGTCCACGATCAAGGAATTCAACATAAGTCGTCCATTCAAACCACTCAAAATTTACCCCTGATCTTCCTCTTATTTACTGACCATATCACTCTCAGAAAACTATAAATAGACCCCTCATTCTCTTAAAAGGGGACCCTAAGTGAGAAGAGAAAAAAGAGAAGGAAGAAATTTCCTCCTCGACCATTGTCGGACTTTCACCTGCAATCGACCGACGCCGGAATTAAGCAAGGAAGCAAGAAGAAAAGGAAGAAGAGAAGGAAAAAGAGAAGAAAGAGACAACTCGACCACCTCCGGAGTTCCGCCCAAACTCCAAGTGACGCCGGAGTTCCGCCCGACCGCCAAGTGACGCCGGAGTTCCGCCCGACCTCCAAGTGACGCTGGAGTTCCGCCCGACCTCCAAGTGATGTCGGAGCTCTGTCCGACAACCGACTGACGCCAGTTTTCTGCCTGATCGTCAACTTACGCCGAAATTTCGATATATGTTTGTAATTGAATTCCAACCCGAGAGCTAATTATTGTAATCTGATCATCCTAAAATTCAAGGACGAGTCAGCCTCTTGCAACCTACGCAAACACTAGTGGAATTCTTCCGACTGGGCGTGGCCCCGTGGTTTTTCCCTTTCCAGGGTTTTCCACGTAAAGATCCTGGTGTTCTTTCATCTTCTGTTTGTGTGCTGGAAGAGAGAGACAATCAAGGAATTGAAAGAAGAGAGAAACTAAAGCTCTCTTGCCACCAGACTCCTCGACCACCATCGGACTACTAACCATTGTCCGACTGACGTCGGATTTCTGCCTCCCAAGCCACCGATTGACATCGAACTTCCGCCCATCCTTTGACTGATGTCGGATTTCTGCCCGGCCACCGACTGTCACCAGACTTACTCCTGACTACTGATTATCATCGGACTTTCCCACGACAAGTAATGCTAGACAACGATCTTTCTGACCATTGTCATCCGCTGACTACGGTCATTCCGACCTTCGTCTCTAGACAATAGTCTTTACAACCATTATCTCCCGTCGATTTCGATCCTTCTGACCTTCGTTGCCAGACTACAGTTCTTCTGACCTCCGTCACCAGACCATTGTCGTCCACCGACTACGATCCTGCCGACCCCTGTCGTTAGACAACAATCTTTCTTACCACTGTCATCCACCGACTACGGTCCTTTCGACCTTCGTTGTCATACAATGATCTTTCTAAACACTGTCATCCGCCAAGTACGGTCCTTCCAACCTCCATCGCCAGACTACGATCCTTCCATTCAATATCGCCCGCCTACTACGATCTTTCTGACCTCCATCACCATACAACAGTCTTTCTGATCAATGTCGTCCGCCGACTACGATCCTTCCGACCTCCATCGCTAGATTGTGGTCCTTCTAACCTCCGTCGCCAAACAATAGTCTTTCTGACTACTGTCGCCCGCCCGACTACAGTCTTTCCGATCTTTGTCACTAGACAACGATCTTTCTAACCACTGTCATCTACCGGCTACGGTCCTTTCGACCTCCATCGCCAGACTATGATTCTTCTAACATCTGTCGCCAGACAATAGTCTTTCTAACCACTGTTGCCGCGAACTACAGCCCTTCCCACCTCCGTCGTCAGACTATGATCCTTCTAACCTTCATCGCCAGACAACAGACTTTCCGACCGTCGTCACCCGCCGACTATGTTCTTTTCAACCATCGTCACTCGACTACGAACTTTTTGACCTCCGTCGCCCGCCGACTATGGTCCTGCTGATCAAACAAACATGTCAATACTGATTCTTTTAATTCCCACCATGTACTGCACTCTATATAATGTATATTTGATACATCAAGCCCAGACCTTCCCACCATGGAAGGGCCTCATTTGTAATCGACTGCAAACACTAGTGGAATCATTTCAACTGGGAGTGGCCCTGTAGTTTTTTCTCCCTTTTTAGGGGTTTCCACGTAAAACTCTGGTGTCTCTTATGAACATTTCACTCTCTCTTTTATATGATTGTATGACAGATCTTCGTACAAAGCTAAGATGTTAAAATTTATATTTCACCATCACTGCAAATATTCCATGATGCAACAATACTAATCTAAAGATAACAAATAATTTTTAAGGGCATCTTCATACAAATTACGTTAAAATATTTTGACACAATTTTTTCCATCTTATATCCAGCCCTTAACGATGGATTCATTTCTGCTTAAGATAGCTAAAAATAAATAGTTGTACCCTGGTAGAAGAATGAACGCTTTGCCAAAATGAAAATGACAAACCTGAAGCCGCGAGCGCAATGCCTTCGATTAGGATGAGGCCGCCAAGGCCTAACCAAGCAACAAGGAAGGCGCCCTCATTGGCACCCTGCTGCTCTTGCGAGGAACGGATTTCATCGCCTGTAGGGGAAAATATAGAAGACTTCTCTATTGGAATCCGCCTAATCACTGCGCTCCTACCCTTTCTCTTTCCCTTCTTCTTCTCATCAACAGCAGCGCCAAACCCCGCTCCGCTGCTATTGGGCTTCTTTGACGGAGGAGGAGAAGGCGGTGCAGAGGCGGAATAGAGATCCGTGGAGTTAGGACTGTCTAATCCTTCCGATGGCTCCGCCTTTGGGAGGAAGGAAGTGCCTCTGCCGGAGAAAGAGGAGGTTAAGAGGGGGAGGAAAAGGAAGGATGGATATGAAGTAGAGATGGCGATATGTCTCTTCAAAGTACGGGGAAGAGAAGAGAATAGTCTCTGAGGATGGATGCCAAGCAGAGTAGCTGCGCTCTCCATGACTAGGCTTGAAGCCACTTTTCTGCTGTTAGCTCTTGGGGTTTGAAGGAGATGAGATCTATAAGACAATTCAGCTGTATGCTCAGTGGAGCGTACAGCCGATTCCACCCACCACGATTGCAATACCACTGGCTTAAAATATCATAATTCCATTTCTTTGTAGTTTTAAACACGATGTTACTCTTCAGGTTTCATGAGCCTGTCAATATAATTAACTTTTGTTTTATTTTAACAACAGTTTTAAGCATAGCAATGTCTTAACCATGAGAAATTATTGTGTGCGGAATCCGAATGCATTCAAATTTTAATCACAGCTTGCCACATCAACGGATGCACTCCGGGGCCCAATGCATTTAGTGACATGATGCATGATGATTGCATTCGAATTCCACACACAATAATTTCACCTTAACCATACCGTGCATAAGCTTGAACATTCGACTTATCACTTATCCACTCCATTTTTTCGTTTTTTTTTAATAAAATGAGATATACTTTTTTTCTAGTTTTGAAAAATCTCTTTAGCTTTAATTTCTCCATTGTTGATTGCAAGATTATGAAAAAATGAAAAACTACTAAATTATTTCCCTGTTCAGTGACTGGTTAAATAATCTGGAAGCAACTATCAAATAATTTACCTGCAAAGATTATTAGGAGTGTCAGTATTTGACACGACCTAAAAATCTAATCCGAAAAATTCGATTTCAAGCCAACCCATTTACAAACGGGTCGGGTTCACATTCCATTTGCCTTTCGGGTTCAATTTTTTGACCCGTCTAAAAAATCTAGTCGGGCCTGAGTCAACTTGACAACCCGAAAATGACTCCACTACCCGCGACCCAAAATCAATATGAGTCAACCTGCGCTCAACTCGCTTCCGCTTCACCTGCTGCGCAAGTGCAAGCACAAGTGTGACCAAATGCACCTGCACAACTACTTGTACGCAGCACTTCCACCTTCCACTCCGCCCGAAAGCCCCGCACCAAACCGTGTCCAACACCCGCTTTGGCTTCGGCCACACCGGACCGTGCACCTCATATGCACAACTAGCTCGCCCATCAGAATAGCTCGAGGTAGTCCGATAAATTGGGTTGTGTCATGTCAACTCGGTAACCCAGCAAGTCGGATCCGGGCTGGAATTTCTGACCCATCTGTAAAAATGAATCCGATTCGAGTCGGATCAAACAGTAGCAAGTTAATATCATGTTTGACCCAAACCCGACCTGGAACCCCTTTTTTTTTTTACAAACCCCCTTGGCATCGTCATCACTTCATGCAAGAGAAAGGCATAGGTTCCTCAAATTAAAATCAAAACATAACATATCCCCTTTTTTTCAATGCGAAAACCAACTTTTTACTGGAACGAAGAAAAAAAAAGAGTGGCATGGAGCCCATCAAATAGCCATAACAACTGTACCAAACCCAACTAGTCGCATATATAGCACACATCGATCGGAACATATCTCAGAAAATTGATTTCACAAAGGGAAATAAATCAAAATAAAATCCCATTAGCAACAACTTAGAATCACTTTGCCAGTTCAGAAGCCAACCGTCCAACATAGAAGCAAAATCAGATCACTAAAGAGTTCCCGTGGAAAAAACAAATCTATTTGAAGAGATCGGGATTCAGCCAGTCCCTAAAAAGGCATAATTGAAAATAAAATCGTCAACGAGCTTATAAAAGATTTTAAACGTATAAACAGTATAGGAAACTGCTTACTTGCTGATGTCGTCGAGATGATCATCGAAGTCCACAACTTCATTCCACTTCTCAGTCGACATAAAATCCAATAATACTACATTGGCTGAAGGCTCTTTTGTAGTCAGCTGAGGGCTCCCTACGGATCCAGTAGACCGCCAGCTTCTAGAGGAATCCCTTGTAAATAACTGCAGGAAGAATTGAAGATAAAAGCCAGTTACAGACTCCAATAGATTTTCACGAAATGGAAAAGCAGTACAGTAGAACAGATATCCTAAGATGGATCTCGGAATTTGTTGTTAAGGTCATGAAATTCCTATATTAAATTTACACTTCCGCAATCTAACTCAAAAAATAAAAGTAAAAAAAGATATCAATCATTATAAGTTTCTAAATAAGGTAATATTAGCGGCTGATTGCTGATAAGTGGCTCTAGCAGGAAAAAATATTAGGTGTGGCGTCCGAACGATGACGTGGCGCATCCGGATTGGCCTCATGACGCGTTCGGACGCCTCATGACTGTCATGCTTGACAATCCTATCTCAAAAACAATGAGAACCATCAAAACCCATTGTTAAAAGACTTGTTACCACAAATTCTTTCAAAAAGAAGAACAAAATCCTTCTACCAAAGACTATTCGTTGCAACTACTATAATAAAAAATGCTACATCAAAGAAAAATGTTGGAAACTTCACTGAATGCCTCAAAGTATGATGAAAGTAAAGAAGGAAGCTCAAAAGGACAGATTTGCCTTGTGCAATCAAAATGGCTCAACTCAAAAGAAATTGCCTCATGCCTAATCAATCAAATATTTTCAAGTGTAATATGACTCAAAAGTTCACTAAACTACCTTGTCAAATTATTTTTTACAAACAACTTCTTAAAAACTCCTCCAAAAATATTTATGTGCGCTTATGTCCACATCCAAAAATATTGGAATATGTTTGATTCTAGAGCACTAAAATGCATTTTTGTAGGGTATTCTTCTACTCAAAAAATGGTATAAGTGTTTATTATCTAAACATAAAAAATTTCTTCACTTAAAAAAAAAAAAAAAGACACCTTTGATGAAAAGAAAAAATATTTTTTCAAACGTATCTTTAAGATGAGAACAATCAACTAGAAAATAAGTTTGATGAAACTAATCTCTTCCATCTTGACATCCAAACTATGCAAACTCCAAACACTGTACCCCCCTAAAGTTTTTACGAGGAATAAACTCAACTAAAATCTCTAGCAGACTCAAGGCTTAGAACTTACATCAAGTAATAATGATCAACTCATCTAACTCATTCTCCTTTGTATACCATTTGCCAATAAATATGCTTTCAATTTTTTTGTCCAACACATAAAACCTTACAAAAATCACCTCCTACTCCACTGAAATACCAGGAATTATGTTTGAGGCACAAGAAAATAAGAATTCGAGGAATGCCATGAGAGCTAAGGAATGCTATGGACCAAAAAAAAAAATCACACTTTGGGATATTGTTGAGCTACCAAAAAAAAATCTAGAATACAAATAGATCTTTTTATTAAAATATAGAGTAGATGGAAGCCCGAACTGCTACAAAGTAAGATTAGTTACCAAAGGATAAATTCAATATTATGGAGTTGACTATAAAAAAAAAATATTTTCTACTGTTTCAATACACCTAATGTTTTTTAAGAATTCAAAGGCAGAAATGTAAGACTTTTTAGAATAGTAGATTTATGTTTCGTTTGGGATGATTTTCTTCCTGCTTCTTAAAGTCTCTTTCCAGTAAAAAAAATTAATTTTTTACTAGAAAGCCGCTTTAAGAAGCATGAAAAAAGTCATCCCAAACAAAGCCTTATACTACAAACTTGAAATGATAGAGTTATACTATCGAATTTGAGAAGCCCTGAAAGACAGAATGGCCTATTGGGGACAAAGACCAGTGGGGCCATTGAAAATGCCTAGGAAGGAAAGCAGAAGCTTACTCTTCCAAATAAGAAACACCTCTTGCATATCCATGTCCAAGAAAGGAAGGAAGCCTTGATTATTTGCGAGCACCAACTAGCGCATCTGACAAGTCCTAAAGAAGGCAAACAATTGATGTGCATATTTATTTTTTTTTAGTTATTTTCATTTATTCTCGATATAATTTTATGTATAAATACCAATGTAGTTTTATGTATAGATATACATTGAATGAATAAATAACTAAAGTTTTCCTAGCCAGCTCTTGTTTTAAACACTGTACTTTATGATTTTAATGATCCTTTATGTTAATGAAAATTTGAATAGGTAACAACAAGAACCAGATGAAATATGAAACAAATGTCACTAGTGAACTTATAGAAAGATATTCACATACAAAGAAAAAAAAAGATGGTTTAATCATCTAACATGACTTTCTTGTTTTCTACTTATTGAGCTCAAGCATACAATAGGCTCAAATGAACCCTAGGACCTTTAGTAAAGTTAAAATGAAATCAACATTTCATTTGATTTCATTTTAACGCACCAATCCCATCAAGCATAAAAGATCAAATAAAGTAATAATAGGCAAAGTAATCTTGCAATCACCAGGCTGTTTGCAAACTTAGGGTGTCAAAAGAGTCAAAATTTTCTAATTTTTTGCTAACAAGGGTATGGGTTTGACCCAAAAAGACCTACTCGATTGAAGACGACCTAAAGAAGCCCAACCCAATGTGAGAAGCAGTCAAGACAAGTTGACGAATATGGTTACTTTCAACAAAATACTAAGGGTTTGTTTCATAATAAATTTGGACCATAATCCTAGAAGTCATTCGCATTGAATTTAAGTTGCAATGATATATGCTTATTATTGAAATCCACATATGAACTTAATTGGTGTTTTTCTGGGTTGCATTAGTTTTTAATATTTTATTATTATTTTAAGCAAAAGTAAAATTACAAATCATTATTATATTAAGTTAATATTCTGCCATTGTTATAAAAAGGCAATTAGAAAATTAAAAAATTGACTTTCTAGCCCTCAACATTGGAACTCACTTCTCACCTTTCTGGAGATGAGATCTAAGAATATGAACTTTGATATACTTAATTTCAATCAAACAAACCATTGGAACTTCTGTTCAAGAAGTGAGATTCAATCACTTTAAAAAATTTACAGTTCTACCAAATTTGCATGGGCCAGCCCAATAAGATTGGCATTATAATCAAAATGATGTAGATACCCTTCATTAAATGGGTTAAGATTGGCTTGTTAGGTTATCCTGAAGTCAACCCAAACCCAAATTCTAAACATGTTAGCCTGAACTCAAAATTCCTGGGTCAATTTGAGTCGATTTTCTTTTGGGTCAAATTTTGATGCGCTTATTTAAAAGGGTGTTAATAACGCTACTTTTGCATTCAAAAATTGTCCTTAAGCACAGTCTAAATAGTAAATTGATAAAATCCAGTTTGTATTTAAACCGCACCGCCAAATAAACTAAGCTATAAATATACAATTACAACATGCTTAAACTGATGTGTGATAGCCTGCAAATATCATATCACTTTCCCGCACGAGTGCACAAACTAATGGAATTAACAATAGATGACCGTAGAAACACCCTTTGGACACTTTATAACGACCAAAAGTCTAGGTGGAGCAGCACAGTTTAAAATGTATTCACAAATTATAGTTAACTATCAATTTTTAGTGCACAATGAAAGAGAAAAAAATATATGCAATTTAGTAGATAGGGAAATCAAAATAAGACATTATGCTTGTGCTTCCTTCATTAAGAGCAGTCGATGTGTCATCTATCCATTTTCTTTTTTTTTTTCTTCAAAATTTCAGCTTCACATCATTGTTTTTTTTTTAAATAAATCCTTATTTTTCATTTATTCCTACAAAATATTGTTTGAGATGTTAAACATATTCTACGCAAAATCATTTCAAATAACTTTGATCCCTATTACCTTAGGTAATTGAATAACTTACCATTCTATTTCATATTTCTCCCATATTAATTGGACTACTTACCCATCTAATGGGTGTATTTTCCATCATGCGTTATACATATTCAAACAACCTAAATCGACTTTCATTATTTAATTTCCCTACATTCAATAGATATTACTACAATCATTAATTCAATAATAATAACTCATTTTTTTCATACATTTGTACATCACTAATTGCCTTCACAGGTACCCTTACCAATAATAGATATTACTACGATCATTAATTTAGTATAATAACACCTAATTTTTTCATACATTTGTACATCCCTTATTGCCTTCACAAGTATCCTGACAAGGATATCCCTTCTCAGGAGCAAATGGCTTAGAGAACTCATCCACGGTCCCCAAAATAATTCGCCCAAGGAGAGGGCACCACTCGCCCGCATCCACAAAAAGATATTGCCCTATGTTGGGTGACCAAAAGGCACATCACCAAAAAAGTAAACCATCACTCATCTCAGTCAAGCTCCAACCCTTTGAAGCCCACTGAACTCGCGCACGAGATGGCGTCTCCCTCAGTGAGTCCTCGTTCACTCGGTTACTCCTGACAACAAGCTCAAGAACTCCCTACCCCCACTTATACTTCAGCTCAATTCCATTGGCAGAGCGACACCGAGCGTCCAGTGTCACTCGCTAACACCACTAAAAAATTGTCTACATGTCCATCCCCTCTCAAGAGTCTCCCTACACCTACTCGCTCCCTCTTGAGCTCACCCGATAAGAAATAACTCATAGGATCATTGACTTCACCCTCTTGGGTCCAATCAGGAGGTGCTACCGGTCATGGGTTAGCATGTAGCATTATACGGAAATCTATATGTCGCCTATATTTTTCGTCTTTTTTGTGGCCTTTCCTATACCCATTAAAACCCTATAAATATGAGGCGATGAGGAACAAAAAATGAGGACCTTTTTTAAGGGGGTGACTCCGACTTTTTAGGATATCTTTTTGACCTCTTTTGGCTTATCTTTGTTTTCTTGATTGAGTTAGTGAATATTTTGCTAACCCATCCTTTTATATTATCTGCCCTCTCATTCTTCACTCTTCTCCACCCATCATCATCACCAACAGGTTCCTAAGCTTACCAAGTAAATCTACTAGTAAAATCTGGCATCATCCACTGAATAAATTTGGATCCAACATCTATCTTAATATTCTTATTTCTAAGACACTAAATATAGCTATCAACATTGTTTTTTACTGCCAAACACTTTGATCCATATAACATCCTAGGCCTAATTGTAAATTTGTAAATTTAATGATGTCATTATGATACCATTTTAACAAATAAAACTCACAATACCCATCACTATTTTAATCACTCAACCTCAAATCTATAAGTTATAACCATAGCTATATCGCCATTCTTCTGCATGATAGATTCAAGGTACTTAAAACCTATCATACCTACATATCATTTTATCTTCTGATAGTATTGGACAATAATTATTGATCTAACACAACTAAAATTATATATTATATGCTCAATTTTAATATACTAATTATAATCTCATATCTTACAAACTTTTTCTCAATTATTCTGACTTTTAACTTATTTTAACAAATGTCTCATAATAGAACTATGTCATCAATTAAAAGCATATATTGAAGTATCTCCCTTTATATCCTTTGTAAACACCTCTATAACTAATAAAAAAAGACACGAACTTAATATTGATCTTTGATACAATACTATTATAATTGAAAACTATTTAGCCAATCCACAATACTAATAACATTCAATATACTAATCTTTGATACGATACTACTATAATTCAAAACTATTTAGCCAATCCACAATACTAATAACATTCAATATTCTATCATGTATTTCTTTAATAACTTTAACATACCTTTCACAGACATCTATCTTTCTTAATGCATATCAAATTAATTATCGTTGCACTCATCATACACTTTCTCAAAATCAATATAAATCATATGAAGATTGCATCATTGCTCTATGCAATTTTTCATTATTTGTTTTAACACAAAAAATGCTTCTATGATAGATATTCCTATCAAGAAACTAAATCATATCTAAATAATTGATGTAACTCCTCTAGGTTTAAGTTCCATTACTCTCTTCTATAGCTTCATTATAAGACTCATAAGCTTGGTTTTTTTATATTAGCATAAACTTGAGGATTTTATTTATTCTTAAATATTATCAAAATTTTCTTCAATCATTTGATCCTTTTTAGTCTTCAAAATTTCATTAAGAATGTGTTAAACAAACAATTGCAATACCCCCTATAATTCTCCAAATTTCAATATATATCTCATAAAGATCTATAACTTTATTTTAATGATTATTTTTTTGAGCTAACTTCACTTCTTTTTTTAGATAAATTTATAGCATACCTCCTTATTTTTTATTGTGCTCTTCCAAAACTATTTCAAAAATAAATTTAGTTACCCTACACTAATTATTCAGGCGTCAAACTACAACACCAAAGTAAATTCTTACAAAGCTTTGATCAACAACAAGCCATTAGCCCGCTACGTGGGGTCGGCTACATGAATCTTTTTTATCCACTGTGTCCTATTAATAGCCAAATTCTTATTTAAATCAAATAAAAAAGGTCATCTCTAATGCTTTCTAACTTAGGTCTATCTCTATCTCTCTTAACGTAGGTTGGATCTAATACATCAAGCCTCCTAATAGGGTCCTCGGAAGGCGGATATTTTACGTGACCAAACCATCTAAGATGACTCTCTCTAACCTTATCTACTATTGTAGCTACTCAAACATTTTCATGCATATACTCATTTCGCATTGTCTCTAAGTGTAAAACCACTAATCCACCTAAGCATCCTCATCTCCACAACACTTAATTTTATGTTTTTCAATTAATGGCCAACATTCTATGCCATAAAGCATTGCAAGTCTAAACACCATCTTATAAAATTTTCCCTTAAGTTTGACAGGTATTTGTCTATCACACCATAGGCCTAAAGCATTTCTCCACCTCAACCATCCAACATGAATTCTACTAGTAATATCCCCATTTATTTCAACATCGCTTTGAACCATAGACCTGAAATATCTAAAATGTGCATTCGTTTTAATTACTTGATCACCCAATGTCACAATCCCACCACTAGATCTATTACTACTAAATTAAACTCCATGTATTTGGTTTTAGACCTAGTCAAATGAAAAACTGTAGACTCTAAAGTTTGGCCACCATAATTCAAGTTTTTCATCAACTCCCTCTCTAATATTATCAACAAGAAGAATATCATCAGTAAAAAGCATACACTAAGATACATCCTCTTGTAAATGTTTAGCAAGAACATCCATAACTAGATCAAAAAAAATATTGACTTAAAACTGATCTTTGATGTAATCCAACTGCAATAGGAAAATACATGGTCAAACCACCTTGTGTTTGAGCACAAGTAACAGCTCATGTACACATATCCTTAATAACTTGAATATAAGCATTATTAACTCCTTTTATAGAACTCTCTAGAGCACTTCTCTTAGAATTGTAACAGAAGCATTCTCTAAATCAATAAATATCATACGAAGATCCTCCTTATTCTCTCTATAACTTTAAATAAAAAAAAATGTATAGCATACATAGTGGACCTATCTAACATAAATCCAAAGTGATTATAAGAAACATTAGTATCACATTGTTAGTTGTAACTTATGTTCAATTACTCTCTCTCATAATTTTAATGTATGGCACATTAACTCAATACCTCTATAATTCACACTCTTGTGCATCACCATTATTCTTAAATACGAACCAACACACTCCCTCTCCACTCATCTTACATGTTTTTAGTCTTCAAAATAATAACAAAAAGTTTAGCAAGCCAAAAAGTTCCTTGATCTCCTAAGCATTTCCACACATCTATTATCATCAGGTCCTATTGTTTCTCGCACTTTATTTTTTTAAAGTCTCATCAATTTCAATTTTACCAATATGACGATAAACACATAATTTTTAATTTCATTTAGGGTGGTAATTTCACTAAAATTAATCATATTTTCACAACCTTCATTGAGAAATTTATCGAAATATCTCATCAACTTATGTTGAATATTCTCTTATAAGAAAATCACTTTTAAATCTTCCTTAGTAATACACTTCATTTGGACTAATCCTTACATTTCATATCTCTTTGCTTGACTAACTTATACATATATCTTCCTACAGAGCTTTATGATAAGCCAATCAATTAAAACTATTATGTTTTACCTAGATAGTCTTAATCTATAAGTGGAAAATGGAACCTATATGTTTCTGAAGAATTGTAACAAACCTGTTTTTAATGTTTCTATTAACGTGTTCCTGGTCAAACTTTAAGATAACCTTTCAGAAATTTAACAGTGATACCTTGCCAAAAACTTAGAAAAAGTTTTTCAGGTTGAAGTGTTTTAGATCTGAAAATACCCAAGTGGACAAGTGTGACCTGCCTCAACTAGCTCTTATATAGTGATTAATATTGACACTTTCATAAATATTAGCAATTACCTTTCACCAAAACAAAAACACAAAAACCTAGCGTTTTTGCCCTCATCTCTTCCTCCAGGCAGAAACACGAGAAGGAAAAAACTGCTAAGAGAAAATTGCATTTACCTGCGCCACAGGATCGCGTCCCTTTCCTTTAGGCAATCCTTCCAGCTTTTTATTGTCTAGCTGTAGCAATTAAATAATAAACCGGTAACATAACCAAAACTTCGAATACTTCAACAAAATTTATGAAGTGCATGACAACAGGAATCATAACATTGATAAGTAAAAGGTTGCTCACCAAAAGCAGGGCCGCCTGAGGGAAGTATCGAAAGATGTGGTCGCCAATCTTCTTAGCGGCACCACTAAGCTCGGTATCATCGTACCTCTCGTTCGCGTGGTAGTAACCAACAATAGTCAAACCATCGGACGCAAAATGCTCCTCAACCTAATTTACTTAGAACGCGGTGAGAAGATGCATCGAGATAGCTATACAGAGACCCAAGGAGAAACACAGACAAGCAAAAAGAGGCTTGATAGTCTTCAGTTGGAGATGGAGTACCTGGATTAGGGCAAGCTCAAGGTAAGGAAGGACGCCGATCTGGGAGTGGGATAAAGGGACAGAATCGGAGATCAGAACGGTTGGAGCGGCGCCACCTCCGCCATCTTCTAATAGCCGGCCGAGGAGGAGACCATTGACGGAAGAGGAGCGATGCTTCAGAGCGTGAAGGACGAACTTTATGTAAGCGCACTGCGAAATCTGGTATCTGCAATCACCCATCTCGCTTGCTCGACCTTTCTCCGGTGCGACGACTGGATAATAAATTAATAGGATATATATACCATTTTATTTCATTATATTTAGATATTTAATATTTAAAAATTTAATATTATTTATTTATCATCAATAAAATAAATATAAGTACATAAAATAAAATATTAAAATTTATAAAATATTATGAGGATTAAGAATATAATATAGGAGTTATATATTTGATATTAAAATTTTATATAATAGAAATATAATATTAAAATTTTTCATATTAGATATATAAATAACATTAATATTCTAATATAAATAAAATTAATAATTACATAAATGGAAAGATCCGAATAAAAGATTTTGCTTTCGGATTTGATTTTTTCAAAATTATTTGTTTTCAAGGCTTTAAATTTAATCAAAATTTGACAAAAAATTTTGAAAACATTTTTTTCGCATTTGTATGCTTACCACTGAATTCTTATTTATTTATTTATACATCTATAAAACCTTATTATTTATAAATTTAATATAATAAGTTAATCATTAAATTATTTCAATGATAAAATATTATTAATATTAATTTATCTTAAATAAAATATATTTTTTCATATATATAATGTAATGTAATCTAGATATTAGGATATTAAATACTTAAATATAAGTATTTAGGTATTTGTTATGTAACTTCATAAAAATTATGTAATATGGATGTAAATGTTCTCTTATGTTGTAAGATTTTGTTTAGGGCACCTTTCTCTCAATTTTGTTTTTTTACATAGCAATAACTTCTCTATTTGTGACATAATCAATTCTATTAAAATATGATAATAGTGATATATAGATTGATGTTTTGATAGTTGCATTAATGAGAATAAATTTAAAAAGATTCATCATTTTAAGTTTAAGGTGTCAAAAATTACAATAATATCCCATAAGATTTATATGAATTTGTTGGTTTCTTTCAGAGGAGTATTCAACAAAAATAACTTACAAAATAGAGATTTGTGGAGGTCAAAGTGGATCAAAGGTTTTGTTTGTGACGGTTTTCTTACTGTTTTTTAAAGCAGAATTTTAGTACAAAAAATTCTTGAGCTAAAATTTTTTACACTAAAAAATTAATTTATGAAGCATTAAGAAAACCCCTCAAAATAAGCCTAATTTGAAATAATTTATGAGAAAACTATATAATAATATGTGCATGGTAACATAATTAGATAGTAGATGTGTGCATTCCTTCGGATGAAAGAAAATCTCGTATTCGTCACTAAAATTCATCAAAGAAAATATCCATTTCCATTTAAACGATATAATCGTACCATATGGAGAGAAAATAACTTATTTTAAAGAGTAGGAAGAGGACTGATAATTATTTTTATAAGGAGATGCTTCGCTTGATCAAACGGTCCATAAACAATTGATCAAATCCTCTTTTGACCAATAGATTTTAAGCATCTTATTAATTATTAAATGAATAATTAAATAATTATTAATAAGAGCCACATTCTACACAATTAACTATTTATAAATGCCATAAATAATTTTTAATAGATTTCCATAATGTTAAGCCCTAAAATTTTATTAGCTTATAAATTAAATATTTTTTATGAACTTTATATTCATCTAAATAAAAAATATATGATATAAATTCATATTAAATTTTTATAGGTGGCTTATGCCTTGTCATAATCCCCTTAAATCCATCTTTGCTCTTTTGTAATTTATTGATTATAGGTTGACAAATCTAAGAAAATGTGGTTTTTAATTCCTAAAGTAAAACTAAATAACGGTCAGTTTTAAATGCTAAATTGAAATAAAAAACATCAAATTTAAAAGTTGAATTAAAACTGAAAAAAAAAATGTATTTTAAGATTTTTAAAGCTGATAAAGTTTAAATTTTTTAGATTGATAATATATGAAAAATTAATTAAAACTAATATTACAGCAAATCCTGAGCCAATTTCCTCCTCCATGAATTGTTCATGCTGCCATTGTAATCATGCCTAAAGATCACGCTTTTATTTTTCTTTCGGAAATTCCAAAGATCATTCTGAATATCACAAAATTATAAAAAATAACTAAATTTGCATCAAACTAACCATACAGCAAAGCAAAGATTCCAAAAAAAAAAAAATCCTTCCTTCAATATCTCACAGCAATTACTGTGAAAAAAGGGAAAGAAAACCAATGCACAGATCAAATATCAATGAACAATTAGATGTCCTAAGAGAAAAAAAGAAGAGAAAAAGAAGACGAAAACCGCGTTTGATTCTTCAGTGGAGGACGAACGTCTCGAAGATATGGAGGCCGTCGAACTGCGGCGCGAACGACGGGCTCGATCCGCTCTTCCTGCCCGGCGTCTTCGCCGCTGGCCTCTTTTCCTCTTCACTGCAGCAGTTCTCCTTGCGGTCTTCCTTCCTAATCTCCGGTTTCTTTACGTCGAGGCTCCTCCACTTACTCGGCGGTTCGATCCAGAATGTCGCTGAATTGCCGAAGCTTAGGATCGACATTAGAAGAAGCTTGTCCATGGCGTCAGAGAGAAGGAATTGCAGAAGGAATTTGTTGTTAGAAATCAAGCGTTGGGATTTCGATTTGAGAAGAAGGAAGGGAGTTTATAGGCGGTGGCTGAAATTTAGGGAAAGGAGGATTGATGATTCTGTAAAGGGCCTGGATTGCAGGATTGGTATTTAAGAGAATAGGGCGTTAAGCGTGTGTGGTTAATCTATTTTGCATGTGAAGACAACTTGACCGTTGATTTTAAAGAGATGATTACTTGTCGGTAAAGTTGGTGATTCCTTATGGTTCATAATTATATTTTTTTAAAAAGCTTGTCCATGGCGTCAGAGAGAAGGAATTGCAGAAGGAATTTGTTGTTAGAAATCAAGCGTTGGGATTTCGATTTGAGAAGAAGGAAGGGAGTTTATAGGCGGTGGCTGAAATTTAGGGAAAGGAGGATTGATGATTTGGATTGCAGGATTGGTATTTAAGAGAATAGGGCGTTAAGCGTGTGTGGTTAATCTATTTTGCATGTGAAGAAAACTTGACCGTTGATTTTAAAGAGATGATTACTTGTCGGTAAAGTTGGTGATTCCTTCTGGTTCATAATTAAATTTTAAAAAAAAATCTCATGAATATTATTATATAATCATCTTTGTTTCTTAATATAATAAAAAAAGAGTCTTTGCTGATTTGGAAAGATTTCGAAATCTAAATTAGTTTTGATTTGAAAAGTTTTAATGGCTCATTATTGTAATTGATTAGGGATAAATTATTTCTCTAATTAAGTTGATTTGATATGATTTTTTTTTTTTATAAAACTAACATATAAACCTACATGTTAAATTAAAAAGAAAATTACACGTCTTTAAAGAATTCTAAGCTCTCTAAAAATATAACCTTTGAAAGAAAACCTAGGAGCCAATAGTTTTACCTATTACAATAAATAAACAAAATAAACAAAAGAAAATGGAGCCAACAAAAACACACAATACCATCAAGAGACAATAGAGCTGAACATGTAGTACAACAAAAAGGGTCGGGACAGCACAATGAAGCACCAAGGAGTTTAGCCACCTGAATTAAAGCCACATGAAGCATCAACCATATAACTGCAAGATAAAGAAAACCAACAAACCTAAAAATAGCTCAATAGCACAACCCAGAAGGGGAGGCAAACTCACCAAAGGAAGAACTGATAACGAGCACAAGGAAAAGACATGCCCCCTAAGACCAAACATGCAGAACAACAGCACCAATCAAACCCCAACAAGACCAAAAAACAAATATCCAGAAAAGGAGACAACTAGAGCAAAACAGTAAAACCCCAAACCAGTTAATGAAAAGCAGACTTACCAAACTACTAGGAGGGACCAATAAGCCAAGTCTCATAGAACCAGCCTAGCCCGAGGAGGAACAAACAACCCAGTCCCAATAGCCAAAAATAGAACCAACACAACCAACTCAAAAGAAACAAGGACCCAACCCAAAGATAGAACCATCAAAACAAAGCAAGGAAAAAGGGATCCAAAAAGAAGTTCTTTCTTTTTGGAATTTATCCATCTACGTTTATCAGCATTCTTGTAAAAGTCTTCCTCAACTATTCAAATAACATTTAAGCCGTATATTTCCATAGAATCATCCCCTTGCACATCAATTTTCTCCATAACATTCCCATTAGCAAATAAATCACAATCAACTAACCAATCACCTTGAAACACGCCATTATTTTTTATTTAACATCCAAATGTGCTCTCAAAGCATAATTGGAAACAAGGAAAATGCGAACATTTATAACAGGTACATCATTATTCATATCCATAAAACCCAAAGGAGACAAAATAGAAACATTAATAGTATTCATATAATGATCATTTAAATCCACCAGATTAAAACTATAATGTCTCACATCTATAGGAGTTTGCACATGTTGTTGAATAACATCATTGAAAAGCACACCAACATTATGAACCGACACAGCCAAACAATTGACATCATCCACATTATTAACAACACCAAGAGAAACACCAATGTTATTCAAATTATCCCCTTACACATCACTTTCATCCCCAACACTAATGTTACCAACATCCAAATTCTTAGGCTCCATATTACAAATAACATTAGAAATGTTATGATTAACAATAGCCTCATGAACCAAGTTTAAAGCAACTCCAAGAGTCTCAAAAATGTGAATTAAATAACGAGGGGGAGTTTCCAAGTCAGCATTTCCATCAAAAGGAACAACAACAAGAGGGGAAGCATTAGTGATGGGGCTGATTTTAGTGACATTATTACCCTCCTGGACAGTCACATTATTACCCTCTTATTCAGAACCGACAACAACATCAACAATATGAGGGTGCAAAGAGTTATCAACTAAATGGGGGTGAAGTTTGTGATAATCCATTCTCAAATGCCCAAGGTGTTGCACTAATCACAAAAGGAAGTGAAAACCTCTATTTCAACTAGTCGTGTGTATCCAAATTTATCAGGACCAATCCAAATACGATCAGGATAACATATGGTGACATCAAGCTTAACCAACATATGGGCGATAGA